GCGTGACGTGACATGTTGCGGTTGAATTTCAGCGACTAGTTTTTCTGTTGCCCTGTCCCCCGTTTGCTGTCGCGTTCAGACTGTCTCTACGGATATCCCTGTCTCTGTGCGAGTTTGTTTACGTCCTCGTCTGTCTTTGGTTTATTTCGTTTTTGTTTTGTTTCTTTACTGGCACGTACTGTTGACCCTTGGGGTCCTTCCGGAAGGCTACCCCCCAGGCTGGTGGTGCGCACGTTCCACCATTTATTTATTTATTTGTTTCTGATTCTTTTGTTTTCTTGTATTTTATCGCTCTGCTAACCCTTGGGGTCCATTTTATTTTGGTATGCCTTTTCTAGGTACTGTACGTTAGCCTGTGACCACGGAAATTGACCGAGTCAAGTGCTGGATTAGTACGGAGAGATTGAGACAGAAGGAGGTACTGGATAGAGAGACGGGATGGTTTTTGATGTGAAGACAACAACAACAACAACAACATAGCGCTTGAAAAAACCAGAGATCTTCGTATTAACAACATATTCGCCTGATTGAGAGCGTAGCATCTGATTGAGAGCGAGATTGCGCGATACGCTGTAGCCGGACTACCACTGAGAGGTGGAGCTTGCTGTGTAGCTTGAATTGAAGGGCTAGCCCGTAGCTTCAAGCCGCTACCCTGGTCATCCTGTGGGAGTCTCTCGTTGTGGAGCTACAGCGGGGAGCAGAAGCTACAGCAGAGCCCACCGCCCGACGCGATACCGCCCTGAAACAGTTTGAGCAGAAATAGCCAATCTGGGCAAATCTAGCAACTTGTCTAGCTCCTCGCTGCAGCATCCGATGACGATGACACGCATATGCTCGCGAAGCTGCTGATGAGACCTTCAATTTGCACCGCTTCTTGGAATAGCCCGTCCCCTACTTGCCAAGAAATGGCAAGAGGCGTCTGGACCCGAAATTTCAATTTTTTTGGCTCTCGCTCTCAATCAGATACTTCGCTCTCAATCAGGCGAATATGTTGTTGTATGTAGGAATGTTCATTATTACATTATTACGCCCCATGTTACCCCCTCGCCGGTGAACCGCTCAGAGTAGGGTAGACTCGAGTATGGCCGAAAGTCCCGCGGGGTCACAGATGTCAATATCAACAGGTTGGGGCTACTTGGGGGTACTTGGGGGTGCTTCGCAAGGGTGGGTGCCCCTTGGGCCGCGGATGCGGGCCCTTGGGACGTATCTGGAACATCTTTTTTTGAATTTTCAACGGTGTGCCTGCACGACGGTTGTTGCAGTAGTAACTCCGCAACTGGAACACAGGAGGAGACCGTACGTCCCGTCACTCGCGCTTGCTCCCACGTCTCAAACCACCCACCTCCACAGCCGCAAATAAAAATCTCCCGAGAATTACTCCTGCCTCCCCTCGAAACAACAAGTGGAGGCCATCAAGCTTGGCGGTGCGGCAACTGGTTCGTGCGGCAAGCAGCAAGGTAGGCCTAATCCCACACATGCATCACTATCCCACACGGCACGAAGCCCCACATGGCACGAACAAACTTATTTCCATAACTCTGCTGTTTGAACAACACACACACCTGCTTGCGGGCCACAGCACGGTGCCCGATCACTCAACTAACTGATCCGCAAGCAGCACACGCAGAGGATATCGTAGATCCGCAGACCATAGAAATACGTGGATGGGTCGCGCGGTCGATAGCACACAAGTGGCGGGCTGTTTACAGCGCCCCGCAAAGGCAACAGCCATCCCGACTTGACAAACAATAGCGCACAAACCGGTCGCCGGTTAAGTAATGCATATCTACATTTGTTAGTTTTTCTTCGGTCGCCATCTCCTCCCATTCCTGCCTGCAGCTTATATCTACTGTTGAGCGTGTAGAGCGGCGTCCCGCCCTTCCGGCCTTTTGCCCCAGTGGCCGCATCCTGCCGCCGGAATAGCGCGGACGGTTAATTATTTGAATCCCACATCCTGGTGGCCGCGCCGCTCACATATAAAAAAATGTTTTTCGCGACCTGCGGGGGGCAGTTGGCTTGTGACCACGGAAGGCGTCCGCGTCAGTTAGACCAGTACGGACATTGGATGGTACTAAGTGGACACCGGGACGGGTTTTTTAATGTGAAGACAACAACAACAACAACAACCTGCTCAAGAGTCAGAGCAACAAAAAGTAGCAAACTGGCGTGTCGGTAGGTTGCATGATATTTTGTTACCTGCCAGTAGGCATTTTCCTTGAGGATTGAGGATCCATTTTGCGATTGGCAATTGCGGGGTTGGTTGAGGCTTGGCTTGAGGTGTGTGCTGCGCTGTTGACGACAGAAGATGCTGCCTTCAGTGCTCTCTCAACATGAAACCACCTAGTACTCAGTTCACTCATCGTGTTTACTGATCGAGTTGTTGTACTGTTGAGGCAGCTGGCAACTTGCGCCAAGGGGAATTGTTGTTCTGCCGCCCATTCGCCGCAGCTCACCGCAGCGGGTCCCGGTGCCGTGGTTGTTGTTCCCGGAGTGCGAGTGAGCGACAAGTCACTCACTTTATCTGATCTGTCGACAACAGCAAAGCATCCGGGAATGCGCTGTGTGTCCGGCCCTCTCACGACCAACACGCACCTATCTATGTGTGCCTGCATGATGACCGATAACTCACATCCGGCCCAGACACACATCGGCTGGGCAACGGAGTGATGACTCTATCGCGTGGGCGCAAATTCGATGATCGTGGTGAATATTTACCCGCTCCTGCAAAATCATAATAATGTGTAGACTATGTTCTTCAGATCTTCTGATGGCTCTAGCACTTTGTGACCACGGACCGAGTCTTCGCTAGATTTTGGGATTAGCAACTGACACGAGAAAAAAGAGAAAAAAACAACTACAACAACAATGTCGGCCGCCGCATCGATCAATCGCCCGCCTTCTTTGTGTGGCTTTCTTTTGTGTCGCTCACCAGCACGACACTGTGCGAGTGGACGAGTGTTGAGCCGAGGACAAGAGCCGCGATGAACGGAGTTTCTCCCGAACGCACCATCTCAGGAGCTTGGGTGTTGGACTTATCCAGGTTAACTCCTTCTCACTATTTCTGCTATCAGGATGATCAGGGTGTCTGGTCCTTTGTGTAATGCGGAGAAGCGGACAATTACAAAATATGGTATGGTATTCTTCTACAAGAAAAAAATAACTCTCTTGACATGTAGAGTCTATGTACCTGTGAGCAAACAACCTGGATGCTCCGACAGAAGTCTGTGAGGATCTAAGACCGTACAGAGAAGATTGAGTCACCCACAGATCACCGCGCTGTTGGGGGAGAATTGGTGGGGCGTATCCAGGTAGGCTCCCCTGTCAATACCATGCGAGGTCAACGGGTTATATATATCCGGTGCTGTTGGCGGACAACTTCAACGTGGGGGATACACGACCACAGAATCACCGAGGAAAGAGTATCCGCCGCTCTGATGCACAATACACGCGTTTTGACCATCATCCAATGCTACTCATGGTGTTGATCTGTCTCACACAGACAGACGGTGCCAAGCCGTCCTCGTTGCCGTCCGTATTGTTCTCGTTGTTGTTGTGGTCGTAATGTGGTGGTATTGTTTCGTTGAGGGAAAGCTATTATAGGGCCTTAGAAGGCGACGAACGACGGAGCGATAGTTTTTTGTCTCTTGTCGCCATCGGCGCATGCACTGCTACTGCTGTAGGAAAAAGTACTACATGTGTTGTAAATAATCCCTTCTCGCTCTAGACGGCTCTCACGCCATCATCGTCAACAAATAATTCCTTACGGAAGGCGGGTCAACCGACGCGCGCCCTTTGGTTCCTTCGCCTATTGGTTGCTTTTTTCCCGTTCCTTCCCCCGATTGACGTTTTTTGCTCTACGACAGTGGTGGCTGAATGCGTTCAGTAGGTGTAACCTCACAACCTCCTGACTTCGGATGCATTCGAGTGTCGGTTCAACCAAAGGAACTGGATTTATTATCACAATATAACAGTCGAGAGCTCAGAGTACAGCAGGGATGCAGGGACGAAGAGTCCCGTGCCCCCTGAGGTCTACAGCTGCTCGTGGACACACATTACTCCTAGAGAGAGAGAGGGGGGGGCAGTCTCCAGCTTGCGTGGGGTAAAAATGGGAATTAAGAAAATACGAAATGTTTTGTGACTTCTTGGCGATATGGGTGGTAGGGAAACCACGAGCTGACGCGACATAGAACACGTTGGTGGCACAAGTAGAGCAGCACGTACACTCGCGGAGGAGCAACCTGCACCTAAAGCTTGCTGCTCATGCTCCACATTACTCGACAGATGAAAGGATTACAACGATGATTGGCAGCGAGTGATGGCTTCCAAAAAAACAAAATATTCCCGCCATGTGTCCAGTCTGTTCATCGTTTTGGATCTTCTTTCACGTTCAACCGACGTATCCATCGTCAAAGAAAGCGTATGTATGCGCTGCTACAACCGGGTGCCGTCGAGCGCAGAGAACACAGCCCCCGGGACCATTGCTTCCTAAGACTTATCAGTATATCAGTGTTCGCTTCATTCTGTCCGATGATGCAGGTCGGACACCTTCGAAAGATACCTTCAATGCCTCGGCACTCCGCCGCAGGCCATCCTCGCTCAGGCAAGATGTGCATCGGGAAGGGGCGGGAGGGGCGGGAGGGGCGGGAATGAATGCACCCAAGCTGACCGGCCTTGGGTGTAAATCGTAGGGTTGTGGCTTCAATATGCCGGTGTTCCAGCTTGGACTAAGGTACCTGGCCATTGCGTGTTTGCATGGAGTTGTTGGCAGTATGAGACGGGGGTCTCCTGAGGCGACATTCACTCCGGGGCAGCCCGCGGAACAAGAAAAACAACCGTTCCTTTGAGTTTGGTTGACTTGACGCAATCCCGCCACGAAATCCGTGGTTTGGAGCGGTTTCCGACGGAGAATGTTCTGTAGACGAAAACTGCTCCGTTTTCGTAAATTGGAGCGTCGCACCGCTCCGAATCATTTCCCACCCCCGTGTTCATCCGCTCGGCGGCCCGAAAGCAGCACCGCACTGCTCCATGTAGGCTTGGATAGACCGTCGTTATGTTTCGCTCCGCGTGACGTTGGACTGAGATGAAGACAAGACGTATGTCTCCGCGACAAGATAAAACCTTACGGAGTACTTCCTCGGACCGATGCCACTCCTGGAAGTTTTCTTGTCTGTATTGATGCTTGGCAGAATCGAATGGCTGCAAATAAAGGCGCGTGATCAGCCATAGTACCTACTTCCATCGTGTGCGAATGTTGAGTTGGACTATGACGCTTTTTCCAGGTGACCGGGGAGCGCGAGTACCAAAGCCGAAACGTGATTGCGCTGGACGCGTCTGAATTGGTCATCCACAAGAAAACAGCCATCAACGACTTCACCGAGAGGTAAGACGCCAAAGCTAGGAGCCTCCTACAGACGCACCGCCGATTGGGATGCTGTTCGTTGTAGGTTTGGCGAGGTAAGGAGGTTGAGGAAGAGAAGGGGGGAGGAGAGATTTTATTACTCAGGCCGGTTTCACATTGCCGAAGTCAATCAAAGCACCTCCCGCTTTTTCCCGAACGAACACGCACAGCGTCCAGCCTACTCCTCTCGCTCTCCTCCCGTCGGGGGACTCAATGGTCTTGAAAGCGTTCTTGCAGTTTGACCCACTACAGCGGGACCGAAAGCTTTTCATTGGTCCACCGGTTTGTGTGATGGAGATGAGGAGCCACCGACGAGAGGGTAGGGCTACTCTAGCGTGCGTTCACTGCCACGCCTCCCCAATCCTTCGATTTTTTCTCCGTGTTAAGGGTAAAAAAATCTCGCGAGCTCGATGTCCCCCTTACATTGGCACTGGCGCCGTACATCTTAGGTCCCCATACGTCGCTGCTTTCCTTTGGTCGCACAATGCTCGCTGCTTGACCGCTTGTGGTCGCTTCCTTCTCCAAGGTTCGTGCTCAATGAGGAGAAAGTCACCCCCGCAAGACCTTGGAACCGCCCACAAGACGGCGGTGGTGGCGGCGGTGGCGGGGTGAACCTGGTGACCGTGTCGCTCGGCGAAAGTGAACAGCTAGACGGGTACGTCGTGGCCACCACTACCAGCGCTCTTAACGGCAGACCGATTGTGGAGACGGTTGAAGTTCGCCAGCTCACCAACGGGGGGCTGACTCATATTCAGGTAAATAGAGAGCGAAAAATTATGGTACGTTCTATTTTCGCGTGACGTGAGTGCGAGGTGTCGTTGCGCACCGCACCGCTACGCAGAGTAGTTCACGCGCCGTGAGGCCGAAACTCGGCCCTCTGTGCATTTATGGGGCGGGCTGCCTCGCGCAGTCACATTGTCCATATGCCTGCTCCCCAAAAGTCAAAACGGCGCACGCACAACAATGCATGGATCACGTGTTTTTTTTTTTCTTTCCGAAAACGTTAGAACCACACCATCAACAACGCTACCGTGCGGGGCGTGCTCTGGAGGCCAACGTTGATTGTGTGTCAATGACCAATCGCCGTACGAAACAAAACACCGATCGTGTGCGGTACTTCCTCTTTGAGTTTCTCGAACAAACTCCATGCTCTGTTTTCCTTCGTTTCGGCGCACTTGTTTCTCCGCAGCAAATCGACGTTCGAAACCTGCTGACCGGTGGACAATGCACCGTCATGCGCGTCTGGGTGCGCGTACCGATGACCCACGAAGACCAGGCCGGAGTTGTCCCTGGTGCATAAAAACTCAAGCCTTCCACGCGATGACATTGCCTCCGATTTTTTTTGCATGCACGCCGCTTCGTGCTAGATGATGTTTCACCTCCCTCTCGAAACACGTAGCGATCACCGAACGCGGTATTGTGACTGACTTCAGGGAGCCAGACCAAGTAAATAAAATATTTACGACCGCGCGGGACAACGGGAAGCGCGTTTTCAAGGCAGACTGTTGCC